GCTGGAGTAAATCAATAGTACCACCAACCAGTACGGTATGTAGGTGCCTAAACTTGTCTCGATACAATTGTGCTTGTGCAATGTATAACCTTTGTTTTGTGATAATTGCATATGACATACTTGTGATCGTGTTAATTTCTGGACATGTTCTTCTAGCTATGTGTACCCAAGCATACTCTGCTTTTCTTTTGTAGATATTTCAACTGTTTATTGGATCATGTGTTCTTTGTTCATTTGAGATAACAACTTGGTGCAGAATCGTCTTAGGAACCCAGCTGGAGGATATCCTCAGCAAGGTTACCAAGCTCGGCCTCCAACAAGCTGGGCCCCTCCTGGTGCACCAATGCAACAACCTGCATATGGCTACGTTCAACCTGGAGCATACCCTGGCTCAACTCCCCAGTATAACATGAGTCAACCACCTTATGGTGGTTATCCTCCTCAACCGACTTCTGGTGGATATGCCACTGGTTGGGACCAGGCAACTGCTACACCAAACCAGCAGACTACTGCTCAGGGAGGTGGGTATGATTACTATAGTCAGCAGCCACTTGTGCAACAGCAGCAAACCCCTGGTGGTCCTGTAGCCCCCACAGATAATACCGCCTATGGTTACAATCAGCCACCAGTTTCTGGTTATAGTCAACAAGGACAAGGTTATGCTCAGGATGGCTATGGTGGATATCATGCACCTCCCCCTCAATCTGGGTATGGTCAGGCACCAAATCCTAATCCAGGGTATGATCAGCAGCAAGGTTATAATTCTACAACTGGTGGATATGGTAATGTTTCCAACCCACTGCCTGATGGACACGCTGCTTCATACGGAACTCAGGGGGAAGCCAACCAAACACCTCCACCAGCCCATTCAACTGCAATGGGCCAGCAAGGATACACTTCTGGTCAGCAGCCTAGTCCTAACCCAAGTTACCCGCCTCAGGGTTCGACCCAACCGGGCTATGGAATACCCCCAACTTCCCAAGGTGGTTATGGGACTCAACCTCCTTCAGGATATGGGCCCGGTTATGCACCACCTCAAGGTCAGAAGCCACTGGCTGGTCAGCCAGCTTATGGGCAACCCCAACAGTCGCCTACTGCCCAAGGAGGCTATGTCCAGCCTGCTTCTGTACAGCCAGGGTATCCCCATTCTCAGCCACCAACTGCTCAATCTGGTTATGCTCAGCCGGATTCTGGTACCCAACGAGCTCCACCATCCGGCTATGGTACTCCAACTGCTCAGCCAGGGGCATATCCCTCACCATACGGTGCACCACCTGCTACTCAGCCAAGTTATGGGCAACAGCAACAACCAGCATACAACGGCCCTTATGGTACTGGCTATGCCCAACCTCCTGTGTATACAACTGATGGCAATGCAAGCGGGAGTGCTCGTGGAACCTATGACGCTACTCCAGCTGCACAACCTGTTCAGCCTAGTGGGGTTGCTAAAACCTCACCATAGACTGTATGTGTGGTTATTGGGGAATAGTTTGGAACATTTGATACTTTGGTGCCTATTAATGTCTCTGTATGACTGAATTAGGGTTAACTTTACTTTTCTTAGTGTATCGGTCTTAACGTTGTTTGATGTTATTGTTTTTGGGTTATGAATGGTTATCGTTTCAAGTTTGAACTTTCCTTTTGGTCTTTGTCCCAAACATTATCCTTTCAGTGAAGTACTAAATGATGTTGTGGATAATTGCCCTTTTATTTCGATATTTTGTTGATTGGGAACCAATTCTAGTGGTTTGTTATAGTAGTGATACCAAGAATAGAGTTAGCATAGCCGATTACTTTTTAAACATAAGACTTATGTTTGATAGCAGCTATATTTAAAGGTAATATATGTGCTTGTTATTGACGTGATATAGGTATTTATATAATGCATACGAGTACAACGCATTGCACACCTTTATAAGGATGTCATCAACCACTTGGGGGCAATTAAAATCGATGTCTTTGGTCTCTAGTAGAGGTGATCTTGAGTTTGCCAAGAAATTTTGAATAGACTACTCTATTATCTAACAAGCTCCGGATCGAAGAGAAGAAGTAACTAATTGGACTATGCAAAAGTCTTCGATGCTCAACTAAAAAAATTCTTAAAGAAGTATGGATGGACCGATCATGGCACTGCACCTTTCTAAGATTGTCAAAAGAACTTTTGAGGACCTAAAGATTGTAGTGATTGATGATCCTTGAGTTGCTGGATTACAGATTTTTGTAGATTGTAGTTATTGATGATCCTTGAGTTGTCAGATTATAGATTTTCGTTTAGCTTATCCTTAGTTCTTAGTGTAAAGTATTTGATTCTCTAGCTAGCTAGCTTTCGATTGATTGAGTTAATTTAAAAAAAAAACAAACTTTAATGGTTCCTGAAATTCATAGGGTCAATAAACTCTCCACAAAGCTTTTGAAGGTGTAGTGTATTACTTTCCATCCACTTTCATATTTTTATCTAGTCTTTACGCATGTAAAATCCTTTTATAATTGAGCTTATCACAAAGGGGCGAACCTCAATCCAAAAAAACAATGTAATTCAATGTTGGATGATACTTTTACAAATAATTTTGTCAATAAATAAAACACGTTTTATTTTTATGTTATAGAAGTGATTTATATGCAAATAATATCTTTAAATTTGGAAATGCTTAAAAAAATAAAAAAATTAAATCAAACAATACTTAATACTTTTAAGAAAAATACTTTAAAAAATATAATTAGTGATGGTTGTTTTGTTTTGGAACTATAACTATGTGAGAGATATAACAGAAGGAAGTGATTATCGCTCCCCCCTCATTTTACGAATTCCTTCATCCTCCTAGTGCGCTTCGATCCAGCCCATCCGTACCACACATTGGGCCTAGAAGCCCACGAAAAGTCCATCCATCCTCGATTACCGATTCCTTGATAGCGTGGCAAAATCATAGCGCTTAACTGTACGACACTTGAGAGAAATTCACCGTAGGAGTAAAACCTAAACCCCCCCGGCCCCAACTGATTTATAGAGGACAGAAACCCCACTCTCTCTCTCTCTCTCTCTCTCTCTCATCAGGAAAGAAGATCTTACAACAACAGGAAACATTAGGTATTCCTATTCGTCCTTTTGATCTGCGATGTCATTCTTGATTTATTTATATATGTATATGGGTGTGTGTGTGTGTGTATTTATGTACGCATATATATATGTGTGCTGGAACTTTGAAGCAAATGTCGTTATGTGTGTGATGTAGGTTTTTTTTGTGTTGGTTGGTTAGGATGTATGGCTATTTGGCCGATGAATTAGGGTTTATGTTTGGCCATATTATTATGTTTCATGTGGTTGAGGTCTTTGATATTTCGGATTGAATTAACGGATTACCACACTCATGATTTAAACTAGTATCTGTTAGCGTATTTTCATTTGATATGAATTTCTCTGTGATTTACAAACTGTATATTTTAGGGTTTCGAGTATTATGTGTAATTATGGAGCTTTGATCCTTAGAGTTGCCATCATCGGCCCTGGGATCCTTATGTTGTGTTGGTATATCATTAACTTGGTAATATTGTTGCATTTTCATTGCATTTTGAATATGTTTGGCAGTTTTAAATCTGCATTGGGATTAGGATCAGAGGAAAACCAACTTCAAATTATGAAATAGTTTCTTCCAATTTCAATGAAGAAAAAATCATTGTTTTGCAATTTATGTTAAACTACTTGGTTAAAACTCATAATGGAGCGACCCCTATGATGTTCTTATGGTTCTATTTTGAATTTTCTAAATTTACGATCAATGGTTAAAGGTTTAGCCAGCCCCAAATAATTGGGATGAAGGATATGTTGAGTTGAGTTGGGATTGAAGGGTTTAGCTAAGGAAGTGTATTGTGCTTTCCAAATGTTTTGTTGTACTGTGATTCTGAACTGTTGTATTTAATGCACCAGCATATATTGATGTATGGGATTGTCCTTTCAAATAACCTTATATATCTATTTATATTTATTTAGAGAGGAAAAAAGGAAGGGAAAGAGAGGTTTTCTAATGGTGTGTATATAATTGAAAACATATTGTGATTTCATTGTGTTCAAATTGTCCATTTTCTGAGGTGATCTGCAGGTTCTGGAATTTATGGCTTCAAACCTGAATCTGGTTCGAGCAAAGGCTGCTGAAGCCTCAAAGGTTGTAGCCAAGAACGGATCTTCCTACTACAAGCAGCTATTGGAGCAGAACAAGCAATACATTCAGGAACCACCAACTGTAGAGAAATGCCAGCTTTTGGCAAACCAGCTGTTTTACACTCGTCTTGCCAGGTTCCCCACTTAATCCTATTCTTACTCCCATTTTTGTGGCTATGTTGTGGTTATCTAAATTGTGACACATTTACTTCTTGTTCTAATTAATTGTTAAGGTTATTTCATAATGCTCAGAAGTTCATGGCATTGGGAAGTTTGATACCTTTATGGGGTGGCAGTCGGTGGCACTAAGTGGCTCTCCAATGTTGCACTTTCAAGCATGTCCACCAACAATGCCTTGACAACAAATCAATAACAAAGAGATATAGTAAGTAGTGGGAGCAATAATAGGGGCAAATTAAGAGAAATTTTATTAGTACCTTAGAATGATATTATGGCTTACAATATGCATAAGCTTAGAAGCCTTGAACCTGGCACAACAGATAGGGAACGGTCAGTGATGCACATTCAACCCTTGCTATGTTTAGTATAAATAGGGGTGCATTTCCTTAATGATTACCTTATTTGGTTGCTAGAATAGATTTGTACCCATTCAGGTTATAATCTATGTGGGCTAAGTTGCACCAAGCTTGGGCTTGCCAGAGCTCAATCTTAGATTTCTAGCAGGAAGGGAGGTTTTAGCAGAGCTCAAGTAATCCTCGCAGGAGGCCTCACTTTTTCCTTTTGATTATCCATTCTCTATGAGATAGTAAAAGATATGATAGCTTACAGTTTGACAAAAAATATGACTCTCGATATAGCACAATGCTGAATATGATTCATAAGGCTTAGTCAAATTAAGTTGTGTTGAATAAAATAATGTACTTTACATTAGATCTTTAAGTTGTGTAATTATTTTTTGGGCCCGTTAATTGTGGGCCTATGCTTCATTACTTTAAGGTTCCAATTTGGCTATGTTCTACATTTTGGATATAGGTTGACTTGGGCCGACCTAACTTGCACCTCCGTCGTCCTGCAACTTTATATGAATAAAATAGTAGAAGATTCACCCAAGTCTCACTGCCAGTTCGTCATTTGCATTGTCCAGCATGGCAGTTTTGACTTTGTGATGGTCATTTCAAGCAGAACTATCTTTCGGGTTACCCTCACTTTACTCATTCTAGCAAATATGTGGATGAAGAAGTGAAGTACATATTGGCTTATGATATGCTTCGTGCATGGTTGAGTCTGGTCGGTTGGCGTGGGCACCCATTATGTTGTGGGAAGATCTTGAAAATTCTTATTTTTACACAATTCATCTGTTTTTGATCTTTATCCAACTGAAGGGGATTCCTTCAGTTCTTTAGCCTAATATATGGGTTGTCAGGAAGAGTGAATTTTGTCTTTCAAGTAATTTTTTCCATATAATTGGGGACCTATTTGGGGCAGCTGCTGCTGGTCAATTTTCTGTGTTAGTTAAAATTCCTTCTGCTTGGATTTAAAAACCATTAAGAGCAGAACTTCGATATATTATATCATTGGTTATAAAGTAGGGACTGCCATGTCATGAGGAAAGAGTTGGCTTTGGGATTGTAGCCTAATGAATATAAGAACCATATACTGTCCTAATTCCTTGACAATTACAAGAGAAAAAGTCCACTGGGGAGAAGCGGAGGCTTGACATGTGAATGTTGAGTGATGATTGCTGTTCTGCTGAACCATTGTGAACTGGTGGCAACACGTTGTGGTATGCGGAACAGGAACACAGCATATCACTTGCCATGAAATTTTTAACCCCGACAAATTGCGAAATGTTGCATCCTACGATATTAGTCTTACATGGAATGAACGACTGTAGTGGCCTTCAGAATCAGGCTAATATCTGTTCACGATTTGAGAAAGACAAGGAAAGTACTACTGTAGTTATACAAATACCCTATGCATTGTTATCCATACTTGATCTTGTATTAATTAACTCATGTGATTACTTGAAACAGTATTCCTAGTCGTTATGAATCATTCTTGAAGGAACTTGATTATGTCAAGCACTTATGGAGGAACAGGCGGGAGCTGAAGACTGAGGATGTTGGCATTGCTGCCCTTTTTGGACTAGAATGTTATGCCTGGTATTGTGTTGGAGAGATTGTAGGACGAGGGTTTAAAATTACTGGCTACCACGTCTAAGCGCTGCACCATGCTTTTTCATAACTGATAGAAGTCTACATGAGACTTTTTTCCTAGTTTTTCAGTCAATGATCACTTGATTCCTACTGAACGTATTTCGGTGAGAAACTCGTTACAAATGAGTCTGGAGCAAGTTTATTTGCTTCAATAAACTTTAATTTTGTTTTCCTTCACCCCTTATCTTTCCTTTTTCCCCGAAGCCCGTATATGTGCACCATATAATTGTTGTGTTACTATCGTTATTAAGCCATCATTATGTTTTAGATTGCGCTCTAAGTGTCACACATTGAAGTCACAGAAACAGCCAAGGTTGCGTTTTTCCAAAAGTAAACAGCTTTGTTCTTCTAGTCAGGTAAAATTTGGGTGAAAAACATGCTTATTGTCATGAACTGTGGTTGTTTAGCTCATTCCAGATAGGACAACACATTATGCTCATTTTTTATTTTTTATTTTTGGGTGCTTTGGAGGGATCCTCAGCTAATTGGGATCCCCAATAAAACTAATACCAGACATATCCGCTAATAAACAGTGCAAAATACAATGAGGTGGCGACACAAGATTCACCAGCTCATCAAATTAGATCACAACAATATTGGCAAGGTGGTCAGCACAGCTGTTTCCTTCTCTTAGGGTGAGACGACACTATATTTTGAGTCATGATGATGAAAAGGTAGTTGTCGACAAGGACTTTGAAAGGAGGAGTTGCTGATTGTTTTCCAGCTAGGACTAGCAGCTGACTGTTTTCTTTCTAGGAGGTTGAAGAATTCCAACGAATCAGTCTCTAAAATGCAGTTGCCACCCGGTTGCAGACTCAGCTTGAGACCTTCGACTGCTGCCTATAGTTCTGCTTTGATACTGGTTGTGTTGATTAGCCTTCGAAAAAACCCTAGGACCCAAACTCCTCTGTCATTCCTGATAATTCCTTCTATTCCAGTTGGACTTGGCCCCCCTTTAAAGTTCTCATCTGTATTGACTTTGTACCACTGTGCATGACGAAAACACTACTTAATGGTTTTGAGAGATTTGCTACCCTTCTACTCTTAACAGTTTCCCAAAGGCTTCAGAGGTGTGGTGTTACCAATGCACTCCCTATTTCTATCTTTCCAAATACTCCAAATGATAGCCCTGAACAGTTGGGGCCAAGGCAGTCCATTCCAGTAGGAATGGCCATAGGAGATGCAGTATTTATCAAACCGGTCTTTAAACTCTATATTAGAGTCAACTTGTCTGTCTTGAGGGGTAAGAAAATAGGACCACATGATCTGGGTCGTACTACAATTTCTCAGGATATGTGATGTAGTCTCTGTATGTGAGTTACATCTAATGCAAATGGGACTATTAGTCAAGTGTCTAACAATTCTGAGGTAATTGGATGGAGTTTTATCATATTTAACAATCCATAGAAAAAGTTTTAATTGCTATGGAACTATCAGTTTTCAAATCCAATCCCACTTCCCTTCAGCAATAAACAGGGAACTTTCATTCTGAAGCAGTTTATAGAAATCAAAGGAAGAGAACGTACATGACCCCAGAAGCGGAGATCCTCTTGATGAGTGAATTGAGGTAGAGGAGTCTAGAAATTTCGTGTGATGGCTTCAGGATCAACATCAGGGGGCACATCCATATACTTAGATAAAGGTCCCTCGTATTTCACTCTATATGGTTGTTTCCTGGGGCTGAAAACTTTGATTATTTGTTTGATTACTGTTTCTGTAGAGAGAATATAGGTGGAACCGCTTCAGTGGAAGATTGTGTTATCAAATGCTCTCTTGTATGGCATTAGAATTCAGACAACCAAACACTGGTACTTGATCCATGTGTTTGTTTCCCTTTGTACAGTTACCGTGGTTCCTTCGATTTTTGTTTCGGGATTAATGGGACTCTTATTTACTGAGACTCAGATTGGTAGGCAATCAAGAGTCATAGCAATGAGATTTCCCACTGACGGCGTATGTAGTTTTTTCTTCCGAAAAGAACTCATTTTCTAGTAAGATGTGCCTGCTTCTCCTTCGCTTGAGAGTTCCCTTTTCTAGCCAGCAGGTATCCTTTATGTAGTTTCCCTCCATTGCTTGCTTATTGCCTTAAGGTGTCATTAAAACGATATCAGAAGAAGGTTATGAGAGATTACTCTTTAAGAAGACAATATGGATTTCATAATGGAAAAGACGAGGAAGGCATGTCACACTAGGAAGCCCCATGAAAGAAGGAAGCACCTCCTAATGCAGACAAAAAGCAAGTAATTGGTTCTAAAATATGCTTCAAGATCGACTTCCTCATTCATAGAAGAGATGACGGGGAGTAAGAATCCCCATCCTTGCTTGCGAGGATGGATATTTGTGCAGGCATGCGATTCAGCTATTCCACTACCATGTTTTGCTCGTCTCTCTCATTAAGCTGATAAATTTCTCATGTTTTATTTATAAACCAACAGTAAATTAAGGCCAGTGGATCCCTACTAATTTAACCTAATCATTGGTTTATGTTGACAGAATCCAGCAGGACTAATACTACAGTAATCATCTCTTGATATTAACCAGGTGTTAAGGAACATTTCTAAATTTATCAGTTAAAGTTGCGCTTAAATTTGGTGATTATTTCTCAATAAATTTTGTTGATGATGTGATCTCGTTGTCATTTATGAAATAGGGAGGGGTGATTGTAGGATAAACCCAAAGATTAGGAATTTCATTGTAATTTGACCCAATGGCTGGAGCAATGGGTCAACAATGAGTATCGACTGAAATTCCCATGTATAATCAGAGGATATAAGTTTAAGGTAGTTCAAGTGATAATAAGATAGAATTGTAAATTTAGACGTCTTGAGTTTGAATTTTGGTAATTCCTTGGGATTAGGCAATTAGAGATTTATTTCTCATGAATATCCTAGCCCCGACGCGAATGACAAGTCTTTGACTAGATCGAGGTGGGATTTAATTTAGGTGTGCGTAAACTGATTCAAACACTTTTAACCGATGAACTAAAAAAAACAAAGATGCGGAAAATTCTTATCCCGAGGCCGACCTCCCGGATCAATTTATCATGATGTTGTTTTGAAGTGCAACACACAATTGAGATTCATCCGGTCAATGAATTTTCTATTCAATCAGTGACATTATTAACACCTATGGTGGTTTCACAACATTATTATATTAGCATTGCATACCATTTTTAGCTCTTGGAAAGGCAAAAGGCCGGTGATCAGTGCACAAAGTTACAAGGCCCGAAAGAGATAAGTGATAGATAATCGTATTCCCTTTTAAAAAGATTAATTAATCATCAGATCAGGTCTCATGATGTATGGTAGGGACAGATGAGCATTTGGTCAGTGTCAACCATTGCTTGCTCTGTGCAAAGATGAAAATAATGACTATGCACTCTTTGTGCAAGCTGTAACAGAGGTTTTCAGTTGGAACACAATACCATCCATCACCCTCCCACCCTGTTCAACTCTGATGCACTAGAAACCATAAAATTGGTGTAGATGACACAATTTGAAGTATATGTTACAAATCAAACCAAAACAAACCCAACAGATATGGCGGAAAATTTTGCTCAAATATATTTTCTTATGGCAGAACCAATTTGACATTCGAATGCTGTCAAGTACACAATAGATCAAAGCAACTATTCCTTGTTATTTTGGGAACACCTCAAAAACGTCCTATATGGCTATATCCTACCGAAAGATATTTTGGAAAAGCCTCGAGTAATTTCAAACCACTCTGCCATCACATTACTTCATCTCTCATTCTCTCTAACTGCACCGTGTGTATTGACAGCAATTCTTTCTTCTATCTTAAAATATGTGATTTCTGAATGCCAATATCATTTTTGGTGATAAGAGCAAAACAAATGCTAAGATTGAACCAAAAAATAATTTAATGGCATACCCAAAAGGGTCATGGTCGTCGTCTTCAGATGTATTTGAGGTTGACATTGCCGTTGCTGAAGGTAGGGCTTCAATGACTGCATTTGCCAGATCAGTGATAAATGAAGAGGTGCAATTTAAAGCAGGAACACGGCCCCAGTTTGCAATGCCAGATTCGAGAGCCAAGTGCTTGTACTCCATATCTATCTCTTCAAGAGTCTCTATGTGCTCACTCACAAAGCTAGAATTTCAAAGGTTAAAACAAAAAAAAAATAAAAAATCAGCAAGTAACAATTAATGTAATAACAAAATGTCAACCATAAAATTGAATAAATAAGAAACAAGGGTAAAAAAGCCACACAGTTCAAGAATGACATCACTATCACTATTGAAAACCAGAAAACTTTCCAAAATAGCCAATACCTGTGAAGACATGAATATGAGATATGTGATGCCTCTAAAAATTGAGTTATCATTCGGGAGAAAAAGAGTAGTTCATGGCTGTGATTACAACTACTAGTTTTCGTAATTTAGTAGGGGTTGTCATAGTTGTAGTTCCACATGCTGGTGAGTCAGCCAGGCTTATGAGCCCATTTAGGTTATGTAGACACCTGAGCCCGGCCAAGGCCAAGCACATACTGTACAAAACTTGTGACAAAGCATAAACCTCTTACAGTTCAAAGCAATAAAATAAGATTATTCAATTCTGAAAGATGAAACAACAAAATCATCTAATGTTCAAGAATATGTCGTTTTCACAACAGATTTAAGCCTAATAATTGTGCACCAAGTGGATAAAGGTCATAATGTGTATTTTAGGACTTCCTGTGAGACTCGGAGCAAAACCACAAATGCTATATGACTTTCAATAACATACCTCACAGGAACTGCCAGAAGACTCTTCACACCTTTTTGGCCAAGCTCAACAAGAACTTCATCAGTGTAGGGCTTCAACCATTGCACAGGCCCCACCCGGCTCTGAAAGAAAATGGGAAACATCAGATTATAATCAATGGTCAATAAAACAGCCCCCATCCTAGGTCCTACTCAGATTTCTTTCCTTCTTTCATGTAAAATGGGTGGAGAAGGTGTTGGGAGGGAACTGCTAGTAAAGTGGAGTGGATAGATCACTCCATGATAATACCAATAACTATGCTTTGAAACTCAAACTTGAAAACTTAGATTATACACCCAACCTGATAAGCCAGAGTATGATTGTTGTTAATTCCTCTTGCTTTCAGTTCTTGCATTATTAAATGAATGCATTCCTCCATCTGAGCTTTGTATGGGTCACCCGCATCCTCAACATAACTGACTGGTACTCCATGAGCACTGAAGAATATCATGGCCTACAATACCGCAGAAGAACTAAGCAACACATTTATAGCAGCAGCAAATCTAAATTGATAAATTATGAGCCATAATTATCAAGATCAGTAATGCGTCAAACTGTGTCATTTAAGTCAATGAGAGGAAAGAAACCCACCTCCTGAGGCTTAGAGAACATCTGTAACTCCTCCTCAATCAAGTCAGCCATAGACTGGATATAACCTTCTCGTTGATACCAGGACTGTATAATGGAAACTGGTAGCCTTGACAAGTATGCATCTTCCCTAAAACACAGCTCAGATTTAGATACGTTAATCAGTATGTTAACCGGAAAAATATGCATTCTACAAAAAGAACAAAAAAAATCTACAACATGCTGAGGAAGTGGAGTTTACAAACTAAAAACAAAATCTTACCTGAAGATGCTTTGGAGAACGCGGATGCTTGATCCAGTCGTAGAGATAGAATATTGAGGATATAGAGGCAGCACTACAAGTCTTGTAACCTTATCCCTCTTAATCTGTCAGAGAAAATGAATAAATTTCAAGCCTTTTGACCTGAACAATGTAAATAGAGGACGGAGAAATGTTTTTGTCAGTACTGACAAAATCTGGGATAAAAACACCTATCAAGTATCAACTAAGCTGGCAATCAGGGAAAAAAAAATTTGAATTCCTCACGGGAAACCTCAGAAGACAATGAATACTGTGTCAGATAGATTCAGAAATAAACTGGTGTTCAGTTTACAAATGCAAAGAGGCACATAGTAACAGATATTCCCCATTTAAGTAGGCTGACCAAGAAACCAGTAGCGAAGTGATTATGGTTCTTTTGGAAACACAGCTAGCAAAAACATACAGCTCTATGGTGCAACTGAATGGGTCGACATACCTTCTGTATATACTACTACTTTGGAATCTTCCTAATCTTAACCTTGGGAAAAATGGGTTTACAGCTTTTTCATTAGTTCAGCACTACTGTCATAGTGTCATTGAATTTGTTTCATTGAAATTCTATTTCATATAAGTCTAAAAGGACGCACACATCAATCATAATGCAGCTTAAGACAACAGACACAGACACAGCCACCAACACCAAATACTGGGAAATCATAATTACATTGCAGCTTAACACGAATTCCAAAAAAAAAAACCTGCTTAACAGCTTCCTCAGTAAACGGGTGCCAGTACCGCATTGCAACATAGACATTTGCAGGGACGTCCTTGGCTTCCAGTGCCATTTTAAGTGCACTAGCCTGCAACAAACAGCTCAAAAGTTGTTAACATGGTAGCCAACAAAGTGAAATGTGAAGAACAGCAGTAAGCCTAAAAAAGACAGGCTAAGAACAAGACCAACAAATGCAATGTGGGGGAAAACATCCAAACATGAACAAAACCAAGAATTTCTTAGGTGGGCAATGCTTACCTGTTCATCTGTTATTTTTCGCAAAGGTGAACCACCTCCAATGGAAGCATACCCTTCTTTACTTTTTGGAGCCCGGAGTACAGATATGAGTTGTGCCAATGGTTGCTGGAGGAACTGGAACAACCTGGGGAGACGTATGATGTCCTGCTTCAAAAGACATTAAATCTATAAATATGACCATAGAACAATCCTAATTATCTGTATACATAGCTGAAGGGCAAGAGTGCTTAACTAACATACCGGATCAGCAAATAGATTGAACAAAAATGGCTGAACATCATGAAGTGTTTCTGGTCCTCCAAGATTCAAAAGCAGCACTCCAATCTTTTCCTCTGAAGTGTGTGAAGGAGATTCAATAGCATTTCCAGGGTAAGGGCACACTCCCACAGAACAAAACATTTTCCCAACTGGATTTCTCCTCTGAACTGGAACATGAAGAGATAATCCTCCATGGATGCTGTTTTTTTTATCGTTTGAGTCAAAAGACGAAACAGATCCTTTGCGTGAAAAGATATCAAGAGATTGTTGTCCGTCCAATGAATGGCAGCAGATAGGCATGGCATGCCTAGTCCGAGGGCATAACCTGCCAGTAAAAATATTTAGCTAGAAGCTTAATTCAAAAACAAAGCGTATTATCTGGTATACTAAGAAGTATTACCTAGATTTAGTTTTCGTATTTCTTTATGTTTCATGCGAAGGTATCATATACTGTGTTGCGTACCAAAACATCATGAAAGGATGCAAAAGAACTATCACACATATTGGTTCCTAATGCCATTTTTTTTCCAGCCACCAGGGCAGGGTGGGGTTGGGATTGGGGCTCAGGGTTTGGGGAAGCACTGAATATGAGCTTTCGTTGACAGGTAAAAACAACTCGCCAAAGGGTGCCAATGTGGAACAACAAGAACAGTCATTGATTGTAGACATGTAATGCACAAATATCATTGAAGAACAGGGAATGAGGGAACAAAAATCTCCTTTTCTCACGACTTGTCATTAAAACTTTCAATCTAACAAATATATATATATATATATATATATATATGTATATGTGTGTGTGTGTGTGTGTGTGTGTGTGTGTGTGTGTGCAGCCACGCTGATACGGGGTACCAACTGTGAAGACATACATTTATTTCCAGAGGATCAAAGCACAAAACAGCTCATGCAAACTAGCTCATTTCAGATGCACAAATAATAATTTTGCCTCCTTTTAAGGCATACCAGTTTCGTTACTTCCTGAAAGAAGGTTTCAGAAGAACTAGCTAAATAACAATATAGTGATGAATAAGCATTGTATTAACACCAAATACCGAAAATATTTGATCTTTTTCTTGCATATGAGGGTGAAAAAGAAAAACAGGATCACAAAATTTGAGTTTGGCGACGAGAAATTAACTTAGCAAGACAAATTGAACCAATGAAATGAAAAAAAACCTTTTTGTTGAGGCAAATTGCCATGAAATTAACCTACAAGCATATTGTTTCTCACCGAATCCAGATATAGATTTGATGAATTATACCGCGAATTTTATGTATATACACAATCTATACCAACATATGTTTACCCCTGAATTGAAATAGTTGATAGGCAATCTTACATCGAAGAATTATGATTCAAACAGCTGCGATCATAACCGTAAAGCTTCATCAGAGGAAGCAAACGAGAGGTCGTTGCTGCATCCATGGCCCCAAATTCCGAAAGGTCTGTACCAATACCGATCCAAAAAACAAAACTCCTGTACCTCTATATATGTATGTATAAAGCCGTCAATCTCTAATTGTCTCACAGATCAATCGAGGTTGCGAGATTTTAAAATTTTCAGGGTTGGAGAGAGAGAGAGAGTAGAAAGTAGTTATAGAAATGGAGAGAGAGAGAGAGAGAGTAGTTAGGTGGTCGTCAATGGCGGCGTGTACAGTAAGCCAACAAACGTTGATCTCTCCACGAAGATGCTGGAAAAAAGGAAGGGGGGGGGGGGGTGTGATTCTTATGCTGATATTAATTGCAATTAATATCAGTTTGGCCCCTTATTTTTGTTTTATTTCGGGTTAAATCGTAAACTCTTAGAATCGAATTAATGAACTCTTCCCCTTTGCTTCTTCTATCATTAAAACAAATCAAAAATTAAATATAAACTAAATTTGAAAAATAAAACACAAATGTCTTAAGCTTTGTTGTTTGTGTTAGTGGGGAATTAACAAAGATTAACTATTACAATTTTAAGAAGTTTAATATTAAGATTAAAACATTAAAATTAATGAGAGGAATTGAAATCCATACCAAAAGTCAAGGGTCATAGATGGCTGAGTTTGACCAAGCTCATTTATGAATAAATTTAACTTCTCATTAAAACTCTTAAAGTGGATTCGTGTCCATTTTCAACGTGAATTTGTGTTAAAAAAATATTTTATTTATATTTAATTTATTTATTAATTCATGTTTGACGAGTCATATCATATCAAATTTATATCGTGTATAACCAATATATAAAAGAGTCATATCGTATATTTTTTTTAAATAATTTCACTTATACCCAATTTATTTATTAATCGTATCATATTGAATTCACTTACTTACAAAATGGATAGTTTAATAAAAATCCGAACCCTCTAAATTTCGTGTCCTATTAACGAGTCATATCATATGTTAACACCCTTACTTCTGACTCATGGGTGAAAAAGCTCTTCAAAAAAAAAAAAAAAAAGGGCTACTAAAATGTAAAAACAGTGTTGTGATTATGTTTTTTTTAAAAAAAAGTAGATTATCGATACTAAGTATATTAAAATTCATATATAATAATAATGAATTATTATTAGTAGTTAGTTGAACGAATTATTTGAGATCGTTGGATGAATTTATTGAAATTTATCATATTTTATTTTATAAATTTAAAGATTACGGGCTTCAGATTGGTGACATCACTACAGCACCCATAAAAAAAATTGGTGTTACATTGAATTGATCCATACTAAGATTTTTGTTTGATTGATTTGTAGCTGCTGCTGCTGCTCGAAACTTGATTTGAAGGTTTAACTTCAAAGAGGGTCAAAACTCAACCTATGTTTTTGAGGTTTAAAGAATACCTAAAAAAAAAAAACTTCTATAAAAGCGGGGGTTAGTGAGATTCGAATCTGTGACTCGACGGTCTAACAGCAGGCTGCAGAGTCATTGGACCACCGCAGATCCTCAGGTTTAAAGAACATGGTGGTGAGGTTTCTTCTTCTTTTCCTAATCACAACTGTTGCTAATTAAGAGCCTTCAAATTTTTTTTTATCCGAATATTTCGATCCTACCCAATTCTACAAATCAACTATCGCAAAAAATCAAATAGGTCAACAATCCTACCCAATTCTACAAATCAACTATCGCAAAAAATCAAATAGGTCAACAAATTTTTTTTTGATATTTCACAAAAATCATGTAAGAATGTAAAATATTCATAAAAGAACACTAAAAGTGTTTATATATATATATACTAGTCATAACCCGTGTCTGAAGACACGATAGAACATAAAATTCGAGTATCTAAAAAATTGATCTCATTATATTCAGTAATAATTTTTCTATTTTTCATTTCTTTGATTACATTATTTAAATTTTCTCAAAATACGTAATTTGATAAAATTTTTGATAAAATATGTATACTATTGTATATAAAATCTAGATAACGTTTAAAATAAAAATTATATTAAACTAAAAATTATTCAAATATTAAATGATTGAATATATGATGTTTTTGTTATATAGTTATAGTTATAACCGGTGCCTAAAGACATGATGCAATAAAATATTTGAGCATTTAAAAAATTGATCCCATTATATTAAAAATAATTTTTTATTTCTTCGTTTATTTGAATACATCATTTAAAATAAATTTTTATCTATTTATTTTTTAAAAAGTAGCATCAATTTTTTTCAAAATACATAACTCATCAAAATTTTTTCAACACGTGTACACTATCATGTATGGACAATGTATAAAACAAAATTGTGTTAAACTACAAATTAATTAAATATTAAATGATTAAACATGTGATAGAATGGGTGATGAGATGGTTTTGAAATAAAAATGTGTGGGATATATGTGTGTGTGTGTGTGTGTTAAATTTTTAACATTTTTAACTTTATCTTCTTAGCTAATTGGTGCAGGTCATTTAATTGAATTGTTAAAATAATTTAAAAATTAATAACTAAAAAATATTGTGTTTACCTGACTTTCTAGTCGATTGTTTCAGATGAAATTCGAGTAAAAATAATATACTTGATCGAATATTTAATAGGAAAATATAATTTAATAATTCTTACCCGTAAGTAGGTAAGGTGAACACCCTTATTACTAGCAGTGGAAGAACTTCAATCAGCTATGAGCAGGTGACATATAAAAAGAACCCAAAATTTATGTTGGATCTTCAGCCCTCCAACAAAAAAAAAACATCTGAATCTGTTCTGACAAGTCCAGATTCAACTAAGTCCAACAAGGGTTAAGCCCAAATCATTAAAAAGCCCGGACTTAGCTCATGGCTTTAGCCCAGTTCAAGATTCAAGAGAGCCAAGAAGGTCGACACACGTGGGGAACAATTATCAGAATAGTCATGACTCCAAGATAATGTTTATTCCCAATTGTAACTATCCTCTCCAAAAGATTAGTAGTCTAACCTTCACATCATCGCCTCAACTAGGACGCTGTGCCTATAAATTGTAAACTCCTTTATACATAGGAGCATTTATCTCACACACCACACCTTGCGCTTACTCTCTCTCTCTCTCTCTCTCTTTATATATATATATATATCTCACCTACTACTTTATCTTTTTATTAATAAAGATTTTTGGCCACCGTTACCGCCTTCAGTGGTTAGGTCACCTAGGGCCAACCACTCAATCTTTGTCTCTTATTATTAATTTCTCCATTAAATTGTCTTACGCCACACACTCAACTAATTTGATTGTGCTTAACCTATTTTGTGCATCATCAATTTGGCATCGTTTGTGGAAACCGAATAAAATTTTCTACTATATGTCCTTATTTTCTCCATGGCAATTATTACTCTAGGTCAATGAATCAGCAACCGGAGGATCACGACCCAACGCGTCGGGAGGGGGTCCCACCTCCACCTGCAGAACCTTCCACTGCAGCAAATCCTGTGATCGGGTAACAACTTTTGGAGATAATGTAGCTACTGGTGAGTCAAAACCAGTAGATTCTCCAACTAATGCTCGCCTCAGCAGCCCGCAAAAGGCTAAGCGCCACAACCTGTCCACCCAGGGCATGGCGCCCAGTGACAGGGCGCCCCCCCCAACGTTAGGGAGTCCCTCTTCAGCGCTTAGGCGCCTCACATGTTTCTCTTCCTTATGTCCCTGCTCCGTCCTCGCACACAGCCAACTCTCCTATGCAAGAGGATGAGGGGGAGAACCAATATGCAGACCATGAAAGTTACTACAACAATCTGACAAAGAGTGTCCCTAACCAATGTGACAAGAAAATTAAGAAGGTGAAAAACCAGCTTGGCGACGCCCTAAACACCATCAAGGTGTGGGTGCCAGAAACAATGGACTATCTAATAAGGCACACTGACACTCTGTTTGTGGCGAATGTTGTCAACTACCCTCAAAATTCAAGATGCCAACTATAGAAATCTTCGATGGTACGAAAGATCCCCTCGATCACCTCGATATATACAAATCCCTCATGCAACTCCATAACGTACCTAACAAGATAATGTGCAAAGTCTTCCCTACCATCCTTAAGGAATCTACACGACAGTGGTTCGCAAAGCTCAAGTCATTTTCTATTACCTCGTTTGTTGAATTGAACAAATCTTTCGTCTCCCGTTTTATAGGGGGATACCAACATCAGAAACTAGTCACCCACCTGTTCACCATCAAGCATGATCGAGATGAAAGGTTAAGAAGCTACCTCACTCTTTTTAACGATGAGAGCATCTAGATTGAGGAGCTAGATGACAAGGTTACCATAACCGCCTTTATCGCAGATCTGCACTCATCAAGTTTTATGTTTTACGTTTTGAAAAAACCATCAGCAAGCATGCTCGAGCTATTTTCTAGGGCACAGAAGTACATAAATGCCGAGTATGTCACAAAGGCTATGCGAGGTGAGTCCTCTTGTAAGGGTGAGAAGAGAAAGACACTCGTGAAGATAGAAGAACAACAGAGAATGAGAAAAAAAGGACGAAAAGAATCTCCGTCAAGGACCACCTTGGCCTCGTATCTCTGAGAGAGCGGCAAGCCTTTATGCCGCTCAATGTTTTGGTTGAGCATATCCTATTCCAAATACCGGATGATCCTATAATACGTTGGCCGAGGAAGATAAAGTCTGCCCCAAATTGTAAGAACTCAAAAAATACTGTCGTTTCCACCGTGACCATGGTCACGACATTGACAACTGCTTTAAATTCAAAAGGAAGATTGAAGAACTCATACAACGCGGCCAATTGCAGCAGTACATTGCCGACAGAGGACAAGCCCCGCCACCTAATCGAAACCAGGATGACAGAGAGCACTAACAACCCCTCAGAGAAATTCAGATGATCTCTAGAGGGTTAGGAGGAGGAGGTGACTCCAACTCAGCTAAGAAGGCGCATGCCAGGAGAGCCAAACAGGTAAAGTCAGATGACCCTCGCCTGACAGAGACGCACAGGCATGAGGAAGGGGAGGTCATCCCATTC